AATCATCATTTACAATTCGAAGAGTGCTTATTTAAACGAACGCGCAGAGTAGAATCTGAGAGCATCGTTGGACGTTTGAATTAATTATCTTTCTGGCTGTCCGCGTCATTTTACTAATGAGAGAACCATCGTTCGTACTCAATTTATTTGAAAGGACTCGCGGATGAATCAGCTTGCCAATTACAAAACCCGTCGAGCACGTTCGCGGACGCGTGAAACTGGCTAAAAACTGGCTCGCTCACGCGCCCCAGGGAATTATTCATACATCCGAGGCGAAACGCGGTGTTCCCGTCCCGCGGTGTAACTTAAAACTGGCGTAAAGTACGTATCATAGTCCGGCGTGAGTCACCGAAACAGGCGAGAAAAAAAATTTTATCTTATTTCCGTGGATGAATCGCAGCGATGCTTCATACAGTTTAACGCTGCATAATTGAATCTGTTTTTTGTTACTTCCATGCCTCAATTATAAATACATAAAATCGTACGATACGTCCCCTCCCAGAATTGATCACTATTACAGAAATCTCTTGCATACTAATTGAGTCGATTAACATCGAGTAAAGACCAACTTATTAGCATGTTTAGGATTATATTGCGTCAGTTAACTAGGAGATCAAGGTCGTAGATCAGGAGGTTATCGGAGCAGCTAGAAATTGTTGGAAATATATTGCCACTGGTTAGAATCGAAGCTTATTGTTAGTTGGTCACACATTCGGCGTAGAATTCTCCAGTGGTAGGTAGCTAATCTTCTTAAGTTCTTTCTAAGAAAGGACCTGGTATCGCCCCCCGGTCCAGTATCCTGGCCAAATAGGATTATCGCGACCCTGAGACTTCAGTCGTGATGAATCTTACTTCCCCTTTCCATAATCAAGATAGGACAGTCTTAGAACTGAGACGAATTGTACCAAGGAAGATGATAAATAGCCGGAGGATTTGATGTATTTACAGCAGATCTACGGAAAGTACAGAGGAGCATAAGTGCATACTATTATTAGAAGGTGACTTCCATTTTCTAAATTGGCATCGTAAAAGTTTTAGTTTGCATAAGAATCCGCCTAATCGTCTAACGATAAGTAATCTCAACGAGAACACGTTCGATCGGGATGTAGACAGAAAGCACGCGCAGAGAACTGAGAACATTAGCAAACAAGTTAACATAAAGGCGTGCGAATGACAAAAACTATCGTAACGTCACGTATGGGATAAAGTAACTCCTGCTATGGCACAGAGTTATGATCCACTGTTGCTTGTTACGTCACGGTCGGGTTTGCCTTTAGCGCCGACTCGCGTTTCTGTACCTTCCTATTATAGTATGATTGAGACTTCGAGCGCGATTGTGAATGGATTACCATTGTAATCGTCGCGGCCGAGGTTTCTCGCGAGTAGAACAAGACCGCCGCGTCTGTTGGATTAATATTTTATACGTCGTTTCGACATAGAATCGCTTAACAAGGTGATAACCTGATTCGGTGATGGAAAGCGATGCAGGGTAATAATTTATGGCGAGAAGCTGGCTCTTGATAGGTAGAGAAGCTCGCACGCGAGTACCGTAACAGCGACCTTGCCTTGAAACAGCGAAACGGTCCGGGTGCACCGCGATAAATGCTCCTTCGCACCTGGTTCAAGAGAGAGAAGGGAGAAATGACCGGTATCGAGGACGAGGACAGTGGAAATCGGCCAAGGAACTGTTCCTCCGAAACCTCTCTGATCATTTAAATCATCGACGATTTTAATCGATGACTTGACAGGAAATAACGATGATACGATTCAAGTTACATCATTCCTCGAGTTATGCATCATTTCTATGAACCCAGAAATTGAAAGATTCAAGCCTGATTCAACGGAACAAATCAAATTTCATGCGATATGTAGATGTGTATGTCTGTGAAAATGTCATTGCGAATTTGCGAATGATTATGCTTAACGATAGTTGAGTAAAATTAGTTAAACAATGTAAAATTAAGTGTACTGATAAATAAACGTAGATTAAGTACAAAAAGTGTAAATCCATAATCCTGATCTACGTACAACAAAATTCAATATGAAATACTGTCGTCCTGATTTTTCTTCTGAAGAATACTTACGGGGTACGTCAATGACAATTGATAAGTAATAAAAACGTGTTAACTGGATTCGATGGAAACGTATCGTAAGGACTCCGTTTTGACTGTGAACGTTTGGTAGCAGGAAATATGAAATTACAAAAGGTGTAATCCGATCGGATACACGTAAGCGGAGCAGATAAGTAGCACTCTCGTGGATTCTGCCTGTAAAAATCAAGGGGCGGCGTGCATGCCCACGCATATCAGCCTCTCTGTTGCACAGAATTTTCTTCTTCCCACCTACTCGCGCACCTACAGAATGGTACGTGTCGTAACCGGCTATAAACATCGGCACCTGCGGGCCTGTCACCTACCTTAGCCGCGAGTCGTAAACTTCGGGACGAAAAACGCCGAAGAAATCGCGCGACGAGGATTTTCTCCGGCTTCCTGCGGCGACGGGAGAAAATCGGTCAAAGGAAAAGAAATACCTACAGGCTCGAACCCGTGAGAACGATGGTAATCTCGGAGGAGGCGTGGGACGAGCCGATTTTCATAACGAGCTCTCGTTTGGTTCAATCCCATCGAGAAGAATTCATATTATAATTATTAAAGTTGAAATACTCAATATTTTCATATAAATCATCGTTGTATTTGACGCAACGTTTCATACTTGTACGATACTAATTACAAACTGAGCTAACGATGCAATTTGGTTAATCGAACGAGCACGAAGTTGCATCTCCCGAGACGGTGGATTCGATTTCGTGGAACTTGGAAGAATGCAGTCTTGTCATCGAGTTCTATACGGTACTTTCGAGTCTCGTTCTTCGTGCACGCGCCTGTCCACCTGACGAGCGTCAATTATGCGGACAAACAATGCGACGCTTTCGGTTCACGCCTTGCGGACCAAGGAATGTCTGCAGTAACCCTTCCTTCTCGATGGAACGTAGAAATCGTTGCGCAACGTGAGATATCGTTGCATTCCTTTCTACCATGCAAATAATGCTAAATCCCGGAACGAAAAACGTGCGCCAGTAAATATATGACGATCGTTTCGGAGACAGGATATACATTTTAAGTTTTTCGTTTAAACTACGGTTACGCGTAGCCTGCTTGAATGCCATTTATAAGCGCGGCCGTGGCGAGGTCGGTTCCAACGAGAGCCGCAGCCGCGTCTACGTGATTTCGTACAATGAAAGAGGACACCCGGTACACTTGCGGAGAGGGCTTGGTGCGAAACGCTGGACGAGCACCTGTACGACTACGGTAACCTGTCAAGCTGGAAGGGCGAGAAAGGACCGGGCAACAAAAGCTTTTGCTGTCAGATTTCTCTTTACCTGCTCCTCTCTTCGACCTGACACTCGATTTTACCAGCGAGCATTGCGACGCAGACCGTCGATCGATATTATTAAACGATATTCTCTACCTGTCGTGCCGGCGAGCTAACACCAAAGCGTGGGCAGGCTATAGGTGCACGCATGAAATTATCGTTGTACACAGAAGTATCATATCTTTTTCAGATACGGTTATCGCCTCGTCGCACGACCAAGCCAGGCGCGTTGTACGCGTATTTTTACCGGAAGTATGTGTTCTACTGTTCCGGGGTAGCTTGGAAAAATTTACGAGACCGCGCGAATTTTGTTACGTTCCTACTTAAGAATCGTTTTTCACTGTTAACGAGGAGCATAAAGCTGAATCACGGTAAAGAGAAGACGTATAACTTAGTTAGGGCTCGCAGGACAAGGTTTAACGAAGGGATAAAGGGTCGGGGGCGTAGGTCCCTTTCAGGATGGGAATGACCGTCGGAGGTGGGCTCGAAAAATAGGATGGAGGAAACGGTAAGTTAAAATAAGCCCCGTGTTCGTGTCCCTGTCTCGCGAGAGAAAGATAGGGAATGCTGTCTTCATAAGACACTGGCCGAAAATACACCGATGTCTAATAGAAGGCGCGGCCTGGCAGGTATGCATATACGTGTGCACGCGGAGTTTATACGCTCGTCGCGTCTCCAAACAGGCGGAATGAAAAAGGGAAATCGATGTCTCGTTATAAGTGTAAATTACGGCGGCTTGTAGAAATAAACGATGGATAGGGCCTGGTACGAGCGTCGTACGACCGTGGCAATTTCTCCCGAGTGAATTTCTCCAATTTCCGTATCACCGGAAATAAATTGGCGGCAATAATTGGTATCGTTCAAGTAGGCCAACGCGAGCCAGGAGCCTGGTTGAATTTCACGGACAATTTGCACCGCGATCGAACGATATCTTTTTAGAGCAGCTGCAACGAGGCTGTGTAGCGCCTCGCAGATACGTTTTATCTATTGGTACGTACGTGGGCTATGCCCTCGCTCAATTGATCGAAATTGGCTAATTCGCCAGACTGAAACTATCCCAACCTGGCTAATTATCCGGTGTATTATTGGCCGACGCGACGGTAGCTCCTGTATCAAGCTTGGAGCGAAACTTTATTTTTGATAACCGAGCAAAAATGTTCTACAGTGCAATAGGATACCTATTGCGTTTATCTACGGCGCTTGCTTTACACGGGAATCGGCTACCGGGTCTCACGTGCCTCTTCTAGAGGCTCCTTTAGCATATAAAAGGTGTAGCTGCGTCCGTGCGTCCATCACGGCGAAACTAGTTCGGTCGGGCTCGTCCAGTTTTTCCACTCCACAGTCCACGTTTAAGTCGTGCGTGGCACTCTCGAGTGGTGGGAGACCGCATCCCGAGCAGTCGCGTTCCTTACGACGACACGCTAATAATCCCGCAACTTGTTGCTCTCATCGATCGGCCTTAACGACAGTTTCAGAAAAACGGACCGCGCTACGGAGGCGATCGCGCGACAAATTGATTAATTGCTTGGAATCGTTTGAATTTCCGATTGTCCCGCGTTCGAGGAAATCGCATCGCAGTGGTTCCACGCGGCTCTGACAATGAAAGGCAGAACGTCGCCGGGACTTACCGAGATCCTCGACCAGCCGGAGCATCACGCCGCCGATGTGCAGTTCCCCTTTTACTCGCAAGCTCCTCTCCACCTGGAGATCGGTCACGTAGACGCGCAGCACCCAGCTGCCGTCTATCTCGTGACCGTCGGAATACATGTCTCCCGGATATAAAAAATTAATTGAAAGAAGAATAAACGCGGTGCACCTTTGGGTACCGGAACACACGAACTCCAAACGGTGGTTCTAAGGCGCGGATATCATGATTTCACACCTCGCGCACTCTGATTTTTTTTAAATCGCGTCGATATTTAATTGTAAATCTTGTCGGGTGAAAGACGCACTGTTCCGTCGCGATTCGCGCTTCGAATTCCGACTCGTGGACGTGCCTCGGTCCCAGCTGGTTGCTCGACTGTCGCCCGTGCGTGCACTGCCAGCGGTCTGTCCACTCTCTTACCAAGAATAGAACTATTTACAAGCGACGCGCGCTCGGAATGCGCGCGCAGTTCTTCTACCCTCGTCCGCCATTTCATACGAGGCATGCGCCGTGACCTCCGCGCGCGGTAACTCGTCCGGCAAGTCGTTCCTTTCCCTCCCGCGGTTCCAAGTGTCTTTTGTTCGTTTTTCCTTTCGCGTCCCGTAGTTCTAGCACAGTGCTCGTCCTCAAGAGTATCCCAGTGTCCTGGAGTTTCGGTTTGATCACTCGTTCCTCTTCCACCTTCATCGTCAAGAATCACCGTCATTGCCGTCATACTCCTGATGATATTCCCGGTAACATACATCCATTTTACGATTCATATCCAAAAGACTTTTGGTAAATCAATGTATCCACTTGATCCTTGTAACGATATATTATAAATCGTTGCTTATTCTTCGATATCTATTTAATTGTAAAACTGGTTAAGTAATACGAACGACCTTGAAACTTGTGAGATCGATTGACGAAAATCGAATTTGAAAATCGATTCGATATTAAACCGCGAAATTCGAAGGATTTCGTTCTCGTGGCGCTAGTCGACGTCGATGTCGATGGACCATGCATTCACTGCAGAGTTCTTCTTTTCCAATTCTCTCTGTTTTATCATACTCTGTTTCTATTTTCCTCTCGCAAGCCGACGAGGAATAAAGTAAAAAGAACATTATATTGAATCCAAAAAGAAATTATATCGAAATACTGACACAGGAAATTCCATCAAAGGAAAACACGAGCAAACAAGACGACGTAAGATCCTTTTCTTTACGCATAAAGTAAAACATGATACGAGGTTAGAATTTGTATTGTTTCTCTTGTTTGCAAAGGTCGAACTCGTACAATAATGATCGCGTATCTTAAAAGATTTATTTTGCCGAACTGCAAATTGGATAAATTCGGAAGGGTACAAAAACAATTTTGTAGAAACGATTCCTCAGAATCGTCGACAAAAATCTTAGAACATTTAAAAGATAAAAGCTTGCTCCGGCTTCGAGGGAACGAGGCTTCGACCTTTTTACAAGGATTAATAACGAACGATATGCGGCACTTCGAAGACGGGGCTGCAAACGTTTATGCATTATTTCTAAATACTAAGGGCAGAGTGATGTACGATGTAATTGTTTATAGAAGTCAGGAAGAGAATGTGTACTATATTGAATGTGATTCACAAGCTGTAGATCCGTTGCAAAAGCATTTAAAGATGTATCGCGTTAGGAGAAAGATAGACATAGATCATTTAGGTGACGATATAAATGTTTGGGCATTCTTCGATCCGACCCAGTGTATGAATAACAAACCGAGCGAGAGTAGGCAAAAGCTCGAAGGCTTGATATTTCCGTGTGGAACTCTCGATAATAAAGTTAGTAAAATAGTTGAGAATATTATGATATATCAAGATCCTAGAGCTTCCGATTTAGGCATCAGAATTTTAGCAGATTCGAACATCGATAGAAATCAAATAGTCAAGCAATTGAACACTGATATAGTAGAATCTGTTGATAACTTGAGTTACAGGGCATTTCGCTATAAACTTGGTATAGCCGAAGGTATAAATGATTTGCCACCAGGGAAACCTTTACCTTTAGAAGTAAACTGTGATTATTTACATGGTGTTAGTTTCCATAAGGGTTGCTACATCGGTCAAGAACTAACAGCGCGTACTTACCACACTGGTGTAGTAAGAAAGCGTTTAATGCCTTTGCTATTTGAACAAGTTCCTAATAAATCGTTTTCTTACGACGATAAAATTCTTAACGAGGCCGGAAACGTAGTGGGAAAGTTTCGGGGAATCGAAAATAAACATGGATTAGGATTAATGCGAATCACGGAATCTTTGAACGCACAATCTCTTAGTATATCGGGGAACGAGTTAAAGATATCGAAACCTGCTTGGTGGCCACATGAAGCGCAAACGCAAGGCATTTCCGTTAAGAAATAGCGAATACATATTTCGAATGATTTTCTACTTGTACATACGAAGCTGTACTGTAAAGAATGTAAAATAAATGGGTGACGCTGCAAAAACTACAAGTACCTTCCATCCGTGTTGGTTTACAGGATGGAATCCGTCGCTGGCACATCTACGAACGAGGTTCGTTCAAAATCTGCAATTCAGGACCCGAAAGAAAGTGCAACTGGCACTTTTAAATGCTCTTATTGTTCGTTAGAGGAGCGTTATGATTTTAAGGGGACGAAACCACCGTTCGCGCGACAGTTCAATTATTTAGAAGACTGTTATGTTATGAAAGATCCGTTTAGTTTACCAAACAAGGGAGAAGTTTTGGTGTTAGGTGCAGATTGTGATTTTTGTAAAAAACCCGTGTGTCTGGGATGTAGCATATATTTTGGAAAACGTTTTTGTTTAAAATGTGCTTCGAATAATACACAGAGTTTGCCATCGCAAATGCACTCTAAAATTAAGAACTTAATACAAACTGATTGATAAAAGAACATATTTTATTACACATTGAATACGTGTTACCACTCGTTTTACCGTTCAAAGAATACGTACTAACAATAAGTAAAAATAGTTTGATTACATATTACGTATACTTATTACCTAAAAGAAACATGATGAGGCTATTGAACAGTTCACAGTGTGTTTGTTACTTATTATTAGTTCGATGGCTTTTTCGGCTTGGCCGTAAGTTTCTCTGCTATGACTTTCTTCTTTTTGTCTACCTTATTCTTCTTCTTTTTATTTGCATCAGCCTTTTGACCTTGGAACGCCTTGCTCTGCTGCGGACTAGTCTCGCCTCCCTGTTTCTGTCCTTTCACAGCTAGTCTCTTCATAGCGTTTTTCTTATTACGGCCCTGAAAACAGTTATTCGGTGTTTTACTTAAAAATATCCGATTTGGGAAGGATAAAGCAGTGTGAGGATGGTAACGTACTTTTCCTTCTTCAATTTTTGACTTTTTCTGAGGAGAGTCACCGCCAGAGCTGTCGGTTAATGATCTCTTTCCTTTATCTTTGCTCTTCTGCTCGCCAAGATTTGGTTTTACTCTGACCTCCCGTTTCTGAAGCATCGTGCCATCGAGCTCTAATGCTAATGCCACAGAATCAGCATTTTTAAAGTTAACGTATCCAAATCCTTTGCCTATTCGAGTTTTGCCGTCTCTAACTACACGTACAGACTCTATTTCACCGCACTGCTCGAAATGTTTTCTAACCGCGTTGTCCTCGATATCTGCAATGTAAAAATGATTTTAATATACATTTTCTAATTGATCTGCGAATTATTGTTATATTACGTTGTACTTACTGAAATTTAAATTTCCTAAGAACACGCTTTTCTTTTGGTCGTATTTTACTGACTTGTCAGCTGCATCTACTCTTAGATGATTGCCCTCGAATTCCGTGTCGTTCAAAGAGAGGGCCGCTTTAACAGATTCTATGTTGACGAATCTAATATACGCGTAAACCGACTTTATCTTGGGGTGTACGTTCTTAGTGATAGCTGCTACTTTCTTGGACATGCTTAACTCTTTCGGCACCATGCCTCGTAGACGTATCGTGTCGATCTCGCCGAATTTTTTGAACAATTTCATCAACTGCTTCTTTGTTACAGTCGTTGGTAAATTGCCGACAAAGATTGTTTTCTTGTCCTCTTTTAATTCTTCCAAAGAAACATCAGCGCTGCCATCTTTTTTTCCTTTACTATTTTTACCTTTGTTAGGATTTGTAGGTGAATTTTGCTCCTCGTCTTCCTCCTCCTCATCTTCCTCTTCGCTCGACATATCATCGTCATCGTCGTCTCTTTCTGCTTCGACAAAATCTTCATCATCTTCATCATCTTCGGCAATACTGTTACTCATGAGTGCTTTCAAACCCAAAGAAGATCCTTCAGTTTCTTCATCACTCTCGTCATCATCGTCATCCTCCTCCTCTTCATCATCATCATCCTCGTCATCTTCATCGGAATCTTCCATAGCGGAGCTATCTTTACTAGAATCTGCGCTCTTATTGACACCCTTGAACATTTTTACTCCTTTCTTCTCACTTAATTCTTCCTGTTCCTCAAAATCATCGTCATCTTCATCGGTATCATCGGCTAAGCTAGCTCCAAGGATATTTGGTACTTTGATCTCTTCTTCGTCGCCAGATTCCTCTTCACTTAGATCGTCATCGCTGTCCTCCAACATACTTGAGTCCAATTCGACTCCCTCATTGATTTCCTCATCAGAATCAGTATCGTCTTCTTCTTCTTCAGGTTTCACTGCATTCTTTTTCTTCTGATCCTTCTTGGAATTTTTATTGGCGCCTTGAGGAGTTTTGTTTCCTTTGGGTGATTTTTGAGGAGAGCCCTTTTGTGTTTGCAAATTCTGCTTGTTATTCTGTACTTTTGATCCATTGATCAAGGCAACTTTGCCCGTTGGGACTTCCTTGAACTTCTGCTTCTTCTTTTTCTCGACGAACCCCTTTTTCGGCGTGTTCAACGAATTTTTCGTCTTCTCGCTTTTACCTTCCATCGTTAACGATTTAACCATCTTTCTTGAGATTCTCGTTTAATATTCGAGCCTGCAAAAATCTTACTATGAATATAGAAACGGTTACAACTGCACGGATGTGATTTCTGGATTCGATTACCAATAGTTTAAATTTTGTGATGTCACAAGGTTAACACCACGTGCGGTATACGCAAACCGCGTAAATCGAAGACGAATTAATAGAAGAAATAATACAAGAAACGTTTACGAAGCTAATCGCTTACCTTAGAACGAGACTAAAATGTTTACTACGTGTACACGTGCAGAATTAGACCGCCAAGAACAGTTTCCCTCGTGCTACACCGGCTCGGAGAAGAACATGGAAAGAACACTTTAACCGCCAACGCTAACCAAGCGAATCACACGCTAACAGGAAGAACGGCCATTTCGTGTTTTGTTTCGGGATTTTATTCGACGCATATTTCGAGAAAATAAAATTAAATTCCCGAGAAATTCACCAAAGAAAATGTTCCTACGCTTTCAATCTTCAGCTTTGTTATGTATTGTTAAAAATCATCAGCTTTTACATCAAATATCGTCAACAATCGTTGAATTTCTGAATTCTGCTTTTTATATGCCGAAATAATAGGACGATGTCTTTTCTAATTTTCTTATCAGTCGACACGAGGTTAGAGTTTATTCTTTCACAGCGCGTATTTCTCATGATCTTCTAAGATTCTGGATTAGAAACAGTTAATAATAAGGATTGATTTATTGAAAAGCCAGGAGACGTTTTGGTAATTCCTCATTGTCATCAAATTAGTCTGTGATAACAGGTAACTCGTTCAAATGCGATCTGTCAGAAACACGTGGTTGTATTTTCAGATAGTATCTTGCATTTATACAATGGACGGAATAGGATTGTTCAATAATTTTCTTCAAACACACCAGCCCCAGTTAGAGGCCTCCGGGGTGCCAAAGATATTCTGGGAGGTACTATTCAGAAAACTTGAGTATTCTCTGTTCGACGTAGGCACAGTGTTCCAATTGATGAAAATTGATTATGACGATTCTGAGAAAGATCCCTGGGATCCAGTTTGGAAGCTGTTCGTTTGCTGTGAAAACGGTATCTCAGCGCAAGATCCGAATCATATTTATTTAATCGATCATGCATGGATGTACGATGTCAGCAGCGCCAGGGAGAATTTGTTGACTATACCGAATCTTGCTGATCGAATGTGCTCTATGATGGGCTTTGATACCGAAACAGAACAAGAAGAGAAGGTAGATTTCGTTTTAAAAGAGATGTGGAGGTACAACCAGTCGTTCTCACTGAACAGTGGCTCAATAGAGGATAGGATGCCCATTTGGTACATCATGGATGAAATAGGATCAGCTATAAATCATAGCGACGATCCAAACTTTAGAACTGTGCCTTTCCTGCATTTACCAACTGGTGTCACCTACACGCTCTTGTTTCCTATAAGAGATACCGATTTTGAGGAAGAAGTTACAAGAGATTTTGTCGAGGGTCAAACGAATGACCAGAAAGTACGATCAGCTTTGCTTTTGCCTTGGGTAAACACGTCGTTCGTTAAAGAGAGCTTTGTTCAAGTAGAACCGGATGAAAGCTACTTTTTATCTGGTCACATCCATGAGAGTCTCCCCGAGAAAACAGATTCACAGCCTTTCCAAAGGGATAGAAACGCAAAGTTGAAAGTTTTCTCACAATATTCATATGTGAACGACTATTTGACAGATCCAGCGTTTGAAATTGTAGACAACGAGGAACAAGCAGATGTCTTATGGTACACCTCACACTTTAAGGAATATAAAGAGTTGAACACTCGTTCCCCGCACGTTTTTATAAATCAATTCCCATTTGAAAATGTAATCACCATCAAAGATTTGCTATCCATTGTATGTCGAAGAAAAGCTACAGAAAAATCGTACGATCCCGATACCTTAGAGACTTACCCGGAATGGTTACCGACTACTTACAATCTAAGTACAGAATTGGTACAATTCGTCGCGTATTTCGAGCAAAGGGAGTCGAAGGATTTGGATAACCATTGGATCTGCAAACCATGGAACCTCGCCAGAGGACTGGACATCCACGTAACAAGGAATCTATTCCACATTCTGCGTTTGCCTAGCACTGGGCCAAAGATCGCGCAGAAATATGTCGCGAATCCAGTTTTGTACGAAAGACCAGAGGTCGGCAAAGTGAAATTCGATATACGATACGTGGTTCTACTAAAGTCTGTGAAACCACTGCGGATATTTGTCTACAGGAACTTCTTCTTGCGATTTGCTAATAAAGAATTTGCTTTGAACAACTTCGAAGTGTACGAGCAGCACTTCACCGTGATGAATTACTCGGAGAACGCGCCGCTTTGTCATGTAAAATGCGCAGACTTCGTTCTCGAATGGGATAGACAATACCCGGAATACTCGTGGGGAGATCGGGTCGAGCCGAAGATTTTCAACATGCTCCGCGAGATTTTCGAAGCTGCGACTGCGGAAACACCGCCGAAAGGGATAGCAGAAAATCCTCAGAGCAGAGCCGTGTACGCGGTAGATCTGATGTTAGAATGGAAGAACCAGACGATTCAACCTGTTTTGCTAGAAATCAATTTCTCGCCTGACTGTAAAAGAGCCTGCGAGTACTACCCGAATTTCTACAACGATATCTTCAAATGTCTGTTTTTGGACGAGGACAATTCCGACGCGTTTGAGGACTTGTGACGGAATCGAATCCTCGATGGAATTGTAAATACCGTGGCTTAAGTGCGCAGGAATATCGAGAAACTATTAACGAGCCACGGTCCGAGTACGTACAATTTATTTATTCAAAAGCGTGGAGTCTGTCTCGTATCTCGTATGCGGTAATGAGCTCAAGTAGCCCCAGTAAATCTGCATACACGGGAACGTTAAGGGGTACATTTGCCCTGTAAATAATTCTCGTCCACCATAACTTGACGCTAGAACCGGGCAAGACTGTATAGCACCTAATGGAATAATAAACGAGAGGGCAATTGAAGCAGTTTCACGACAGACCACTTTGGCCACCGTGTAACGTGCACTTTCAGAGTTAATGCGAAAAGAAATGTTCAATTTCGCTTCAAATTCATAATAAAAACGTCGAACCGTTGGGATAATCTTATTAAGCGAAATAAAACATTTATCGGACCCTTCAGCGATAATAACACGTCACGTTTTTGTTCCGCGTATTAATTTTTATCTGACTGCATCGAGTTTATCGATTATTTCTTAATTTCATTCATTTGTAAAAAAAATCCGACGCAGTTTTCTCGTTTCGTCGGGATGCCAGCGATTGTTCCTTTGTTCCATCCCGCGGCTGGCAAATCACGCGTTGGCGAACAATAACTTTGCATTTAATGATATTTTGTTAATTACCGTTCCCCGTTCGTTATTTCGTAACGAGATTCGCGGTGCCTGAAAAAGCTTTGTCTCGACGTTGCAATTATACAAACGCGTTATCGGAGAATTGAACGTTGTTACACGCTCGGACAGCGCCGAGCTATTTTACTTACCATATTCCATTTTGATGCGATTAAATTATAATCAACCGGCAAAGAAAACGCGCGAGACAGAAAATCGATATTAAAGAAAATCAGCGTTTGAAAATCTAGCTAAATATTCATCAACGATAACGGGCGCATTTGCAAGAACATCAACGATTAAAAGCATAGTCCGTACATATTATTCGCCGCGATAACTTCGTTCCATCCGTGATACACAGGATATCATTTGCATATTAATGCCAGAATTCATTTTTTCCGTGATGCGCCTGCACCGGCACGAGCGCAGGGGAATTTTAAAACGTGCGTCAATCAGAATGCATAGCTCCCGATGAAAAATACTGAAAACAATGCCGAATGCAATCGCGTCGCGATCTCCTTTCTTTCTTTCTGTTTCATCGAAGCGATTATTTTTCACCCTCTCCGTTGGGGGTGCGTGCGGCTCCAGGTTGTCGGCCTCCTTCCATTGCATTCCCAAATGTTACACAGCACTTACAATACTGTTCAAAAGTTTTCTATGCACGCTTTGCCACAGGTCCAATTATATTCATTTGGATATTTCAGTTTCACACTGAAGTTTCAAGTATCGTTGCATTTACATTTATGCACATACCCACAAGAGCAGAACAATTCTATTTCTCAATGGGTAGTAATTGCATTGCTCGGGCACACGTTGCATCGAGTAACTTCTTATCGCTCTTATACACTATCGAGAGACTGTATTCTAAATTTTTGATTGACAATGTACGTACGTACGTCTGTTCACATTCGTCCCGCGAATTACGTAGGCTGGAAACTCCTAGCGGGCTTCTGCGACGTTGGTAATCACGGCAATTAAGCAAATGAGTTCCGCGTACGGGGTACGTCGATAACGAGGGCGTCGCGGGTTTCGAGACAAACGTACCCCCGGCCTCACCCCCCGCGAGGTTCTTACGTCCTTTTGTTTTTCACAGCCTGACCGACGCCGCGCGTCGCAATAATATTCGTAGCGCTCCTCGTTTCAAGATTGATATCGAGAAGTCGGAACGAGGGCCCTTTTATTTTCATCGACCTGTTATTTCTCTCGTTGCGATCCTCGCCCGGCAATTTCGTGCTTCTTACTTCTTCCTTTCTACCCTCGCCCCGGGTAATTTGGTAATTCCGTTCCTCGCAGAAGAATCCCATTGGTATAATTGTATTCCCACTACGAGAAAATATCCACGTTTAATCGCGAGCCCCGGCAGTTCTCTGATTCACCTTTGCTAAATTCCGTTCAAAAATGTTTGACCAGAAAAATTAGAAGTTTCAGGAATTGTGGAACGAGGACAGGTAAAACCGTGGAAGTGAGGGTTGCATTTTCGGCGCTAAATACGTCTGTTAAAAGCAGAGAGTAGCTAAGAGATGGAAAGCGGCGACGTGAAACTCGTAAAAGTGAGACGTCTCGGTATCTCGAGAGACACGATAGCGAAATCCCTCGTTTATTGTCAATTAATGCGCTTAATTGTTATTTCATGCGGAATAAGTATGATGTATGCGGTCCATTACGAGTTCGTCCAAGAGAAATAGCAGGAGCAAGTGTAAAAAGCCCGAAACTCGTTTGCCGAGCGAGAGACTTTTTATCACCTAAAAGAGAAACGTCCTTCGTTTTTTAATTTTCTTGCCAAACCCGAAACCCCCCGTATTCCGGAACACCTTTTCTTCTATTCCCTCGGCCAAGAACGATCGCGTTCCGTCAATTATTTAACGCCACGCCTGGTTCGATTTACGTCGAGGACGTCGCATCTCCCACCGGGTGAAACTTTTACAATGTTTCAAGATGTACCTCGCATCATCTCCGGTATTATCCGAAGGGACGAGACGACGAGACGTCGATTGTACCGACGTTCCGGTAAATTTTTAAAAGAAGTCATCCGGAAGGCGAGAGAACCGGCCATCCGACCACGGAATATAAAACAACCTCGTATCTACGTTTTCCTCTGGACGTCCGACTGTCCTGCATAAATTTTCGTCAAACCAATTTCTTCCGACTGCTCCCCATCCGGCGGGGACGAATTTCATGTCACGCGGACAGAGCAGCATGCAAATTTCAATCATCGTGTAGCCAGTACCTTTTTGCATTCTTCATCATGTCGCCAGAACGCCGTCTTGCAATAATTTGCATAGCCGGTCGAAATAAAAAGCAATCGAAGAACGCGTTTCATCTTCTCGTGTTCTCCTCTTATTTGAAAAATGATAAAGGACGCGCGATGCACGCTTTAGTACACGGGACATCTCTTGCAGATGGAGATTACCTTGGCTCGACACGCGTTATTGCATCTAAGAAGGAACTATCTTCCTCCTCCCTTGTTTTCTCTTCAACGTTTCGTGGCTCCTGCAGGCTTCATTACGCTCCCATAAATCACGGCCAATGTAGCTTACACGTACCACCACCGGGTAGCCATCACCAAGGGATTGTTAGGTATAATAAATTCTGTCCTAAGAGAGTAGATATCCAAAGCGAATCGGTTGCTTGTATCGTAATAAGCAAATACCGATTTAAAAGCTTTAGATTCTGATATTCCCAACTGATTTTAAATTAATTGGATCTGAAATATTCCGATAACCACAAATATTTTTAACAATTTTATGTTTTATTTCGATGAGAAAGCTCGAAGGATAGAGTAGCGAAATGAAGAATATGGTGAGAAACTCGATTGAAACGTTTTTATGGGATTACGGTTTCCTCGATTTCTATGACCGATCCGAACGTTTCGGAAAGGGAAATCGATCATCGAATTTAGCTCGACAACGACGTATTGTTTTATCGCGTAGAATAAACCGGATTTCTTTTATTTTATATAGGAAATTCTCGGTTAAATCAATCAATTCGGTTCGATCGCGCTCGTATCCGTGTGTGCATAAATCAGCGGTGCGTTTGACCGTGCACCCTGCGTCGCGCGTTCACTCTGTTGCTTCGTCACTTTGACAAAAGGGGTTTTACGGCGGATCGAAAAGCGGGCGCCGATCAAAATATCATTATTTCCGTTTTACACCCTTCGAAACTCGATAATGCTTTCCCGTAATTGACTCGCCTCGATGAATGACCGCGGCAGTGGGTACCATCGTCATTGTGGATAATGACAGGATTAAAACAACGTCCGATCGAATTCGGCCGGCATTTAATTATTACCGGGACCGGACGCCCTCCACTCCGCTTCGAAACCCCATTCAACCCCCCCCTCCGGGTATGACACTGGCTGGCCCCCGATATATGTATATTCGAAATACAGGATTTTATTGACCGACCGCACAATCGAGTCGCATATTTACACGTGCGAGCATCCCTCTTCGCTTTCGGTCTATAATTGAAATTTAAAACGTCCCCCGAAGTCCCGGAATTAAATCACCGCAACCAGCCTCCGTCCCGCACCGACCGTGCTTCCTCCCTGTTAAATTTGATCGCGAGATAATGCGAGTGTCCAGTTACATAGGCTCGTACGAAATATCACATATAACAAATATAAATACGTCGAGGTGCATACATCGATAAAATTGAAATTGCTGTTTTATTTCGTATTAAAAAGATATTTGATATCCTGTGATTAATAAATGAAAAGGCGAACGCGGAAGCTGTTTGCTTTTGGAAATTCTGGTAAGGGATCCTCGACTAGTGATTATCGCGTGAAAACGTACGGAAGCTTCGTTACACCCGTGGTCGCATTATCCACGGCCACTTGAAACGAGCACAGTGGACTCTAAGCATGTACGACCCGTCACCTTTCTTTTTCAGTCGTGCTTCTTACGAGTGAAGGGTCGTCTCCACCTCCACTCGTCTATTGCGCAATTAGGTAGGTGGCTTTTCTTCTTCTTTCTCTACCCTCGGTCTCAGCTTTTCAATGACCGAGATGACCCATGCGCCAAAAGATCAAAATTATGTTTCTACGAATTCTTTCATTGGTTGAGACTCGAAGTTGCACGGTAAATATTCATTTTTATTAATGTCGATATTAATTCAAATGGCATTAAATTAAATTCGTTTTGTCTTTGAATTCAATTACGATTCTGATCTTTCTAAGCTCCCAAGCAGGGAGGAAAAATATGTGGAACGATTATATGGAAAAAAGAGAATGCAAGAACGGTGGTTGGAAGGTTTTTCAAAAATGTACAACCCTTTGCATAGGAGAATTCCGACGCATACGGAGAAATCGAGCTACGCGGAAGCTCGCAGCTGACGGAGATTTATTTTTTGGTCCCATCCTGGAGAGTTGCGAGCTCTTAATTTCATCCTCGCGCTGATTGCGATATTTTCCTTTTGCGCTTTTGATTCCTCGACGCTCTCCGCGTTTTCCACCTAAAGAAATTATCTTCCGCTTTGTCGGTCGGATCTTTTTTCCTGTTAAGCTTCATGGTTTGCTTTTATTTTGTTCGAATAGGGAAAGGGAAGGCAAATTGCGTCTGGGGAGAAGAAAACTAACGGACGGAGGGAGGGAAACGAAATTGCCACGCTGTTTGCGCAGCGTGTATCAGAACTCGAAGAGTTCCACCGCGTTTAATTTAAATAGAAACATTTCCCAAGGAACTACAAACTATTTAATTAAAAGGCCAGCTTAGGATAGAACAAAACGGTGCGGCCGCGGCGGCGGTGTCGTCGGCGGTGAAATTTAATTTAAGTCGAAATATCGCGGAGTTATGGATAATATCCCGTGGAGAAGCAGAAGAAGACAACAACAATTTTACGCGCGAACGGCTCCGCCGCCGTCTGATTTTCATTAATATTGATCACAGCGACTGCTCAGTCACGCGGTTCTTGTTTACAACCGACTAGCGGCTGGCAGGCTGCTTGCACCTCCGCGTAGAGCTTCCATTCTCTAAGGCCACGTGGAAAAGCCGTTGTCTTAAGGAAACGATAATTAATTTCTTTCACTCTCGGCCTTAATTAATAATGTTCCTTCCCTGCTTCGAAAGTCAGGAATTCCCGATGAAAATTTATAGCGAATCCATCTTCCCTTCGGGGATTTCTTTGTTTGAAAAGATTTTTCTTCGGTTCGAAGCAGCGGAAGAATTCCCTTTGTGCGAGACAATTAAAAAAAGGACCAGACCGAGTATTTCGCTTTAATTATTAATTGTAATTAGCTTTCCTCGTTCCAATCACCTTCTCCGCGTTCTGTTTTTCCGATCAAAACCGGAATGAATATTATGATCGATGGTGTTGCAATCCCAATGCGTCCTACGAACCTGTAATTAGATTTCCACGGGCTTTTTTCCTGCGATGAAAAATTCGACTACCCTCACGGATTTTCGTTCTCGAAACTCGATCTTCAAGTCGTTAACAATGCAATTTCGATCGGATTTCCGCTAGTGCTATTCCCGCATGGGTTCCGCCCGTTCGATCCCGATCGATCAAAAGTTTATTCCATGACGAATGATTGCCGATGTGACATTTGCATTAATTGCTTTTATCCGCACGGTTAATGAAAAACGAAATTGGACTTACTCCGGTTATTTTTACCATTGTTACATACTTCCTTGTTCTCGTTTCCATTAAATACCAATACAGGGCGAGCCGATGGAAACAGTCATTCAAAAAAATTAATATTTAATGATATTTGCATGAATGGCGTGCGAACGAATTCAGTCTGTCGAAACGAAATTTGCTTCGTTGTTCCTCATCGACTCGCCCTCGATTTTATTGTAAGGGATGTTGAGAATGGAATTAAGAAGACATCGTGTGAAATCGAATAGTAAATCGTTTATTAGTACGAAGGTGTGATAGTGTCTCGAGTTAGCCTTGGCCGATATCGATTAAGAGTGAACCTGTGTGATACCATAAGGTGAACGAGTCGTGATAGAGTTTCTTTTTGTTTGTTTCATTCTTAAGTGATGTAAAGAGATAGATGTTAGAGCTAGTTACCCTGTTCCGCGAGCTGGCGTTCTCCCCGTCGATCGAGCATTCGCGATGGAAAAGGAGAACGCCCGTGCAAGCTAACTTTCAAGAGTGCTACTTTTGTTATTTTCTCCGAGGTACTCTAGTGCCTATGACTTTTTTTTTTCCTCTGCCTCCCCCTCTCCGCCTAGATATCGCTAGATCGCAGCTAAAATTAGCGAGATTTAAGGGGAACGACCCCCGTTCTCCCATTCTCGAGAAACGCAACAATAAATTAAATATAATACATCTCGTATACGCTCGTTGACAAAAAAAAAGAAAATGAGAGTAATGAAAAAGATTTGCCGCTCGTTCTTTCGTTGTGCTTCCTTTCTCTTCATTAGGACGACTAATTCTACCTGTGGGCAACGAAAAATCGTGGAAGAAACGAAAAAACGAAAGGCGGAGTTCCGGCCTCCATTTTCGTGGACGCGCACCGGTACCAATAATAATAATAATAATAATAATAATAATAATAATAATAATAATAATAATAATAATAATAATAATTAATAAGCTACACGCCGTTACGTCGATATAACAAGTACATTGGTAGCGAATAATAGAATTGCAGGCTGCCACAGGGATGCAACCCCCGTCTCATTAAATAAGAACAACGACGATAATAAATTAGGTCTCGTACCTACTGTACACGCGTTAATACATACCTATATATACTGTGTATATAAAAAACGGTCCTGAAAAACGTTTGACTAACATGGACGTAAAATCGTACAAAAAGCATTTGTCCCTCATTCTAATTCCGTCGCGCTACGCTCCGTCGTGTTACGTGCACGCGCGTTCCTCTCATTCTCGCACTCTTTGATTGTACGCATCTTTGATCATACGTGACTGTGTGGTCGTGCTTGTTTCGTTCCCCGCGATAAGTACATGTATGTAATACGGTTCACCTTTATCCGCTCTTCTCGCGAAAAGAAGCTCGCAACCCTCTCGAGCGTCGACAAAATTACCAGCGGATCGGACATTTCTCAGTTTGCCGCCGGTGTTCGAATTTAGATTAATTAGACAAAACGAAAATGATCGACGAGGGTCGACGGGATTTCGCGAGGGCGATGCCCGCTAAAGTCACCTACGCACACACCCCATATCCCCCGATTCGTACATATAAAATTATATTTACAACAGAGTGATCTTTCTTCTTCTTCATTGAGGTATTCGCTCTACATGCATCTAAAGAGTGTATACTGGCGAGGGAGCGCAGGGAGGTCGCGCGGGTGCAAATGAAATCACTGCTGTTTCTTTGTCCTCGCCGATCTCGTTACAAATAACGTTTAAAAATTATATACTTTATATCTGATTCCTTTTGTTCGTCCTCGTTTCTGTTTCCTGTCTCGTCGTCGCACACGTCACACACGCACGCAAGATTGATATAACGATATGATACAGCCTTTGTTCCCAGCCCCGCCCGCTCTCCCTCCGCTTCCGCGCATATGTAATTGTATTTACACGGGGTCGCGAATAGTTTTTCTTACATCTACGTATGTATATACTTCTGTATATAATGTGTATACGCATACCATGTACCAGCGCGTGCCTGTACAGAAGCTTAGTAAGAACACTGTTTCTCTCGATTATCCTCACTATTCTCGCACCTCGCCTCGATCTCTGGCAGCGTGATGGCCTCGCGAGCGAACAGTCGTGCGACTACCGGCAGTTGTTGATAAACCGCGAATTTTTATGCGATATCTGTTAGATAAAGGAAATTCCGAATGCTTAAAAAATAATTACATTCCGCGTAGTCTTTCGCGCGTCGACGAGCGCATCCATCCTTTCGACAATATGTAATTTTGTATAAACGCATGAAATCCGCAGTCCAGTTACAAATTACATGCCGAACGCGCGAGCAAACGTTAATAAATCGGAACGAGATTACAGGCAGGATGAAGGAAGGAAAGTGAAGTCTACGGTTGTTAACGTTGCTCGGTCAGGTCGCCACGTTCCTTCTGCGAGCGCGCTTGAAAAAAATGACCTCTCGTCAAAGGAATCATTTGAAAAGGCCAACCGGGCTATCGCGACTCGATCCGATGAGGAAACGCGACGAACCGTTGTCTATCGGGAGCTCTTAAAGTTATCTCTCTCTCCCGTCGTGAACAAGCTTTGAGAATGTAGGACGAGCGGAAAGAGTCTCGCAGAAGGAACGACCTATGTATTCTCTTTAAGAAAGAGTTTGCTTTCTTTTTCATTCGGATCTCCTCTCCGAGATGTTGCAAAAATAGTAAACGGGAGGGAGCCCGTTCCTTTTGCTTTGTCCATTACGATAAAAATCGTAACTTGTAATTGACGAGGAAAATTGCGATTAAATTGTGTGCTTATATTTTACTGGCGTGAAACTACTGTAAGTGCATCGTGTACGTTTCTCGTGTGTTATGGCTACGATCCTCGATTTCGAGTCCTTCTAACGATAAGTGAAATTGTGTTTTCAGATGTTATCTTACAAGATGGGACGAATCGTGATGAGATACTTGTACGTAGATCGTGTTGTATCAAAGTTATGAAACCAGACTATAGTCGAGGGCAGTCTTTGTAGATATTATTAGGATCGTCTTTGGGATGTTTCAATCGTTGAAAAAGGTAGTCGCACGCACCTCGCGAGTAGCTCTACTCTTTGTATAAATTACAAACTAGAATGCTAAAAAGTCGAAGGTTTATGCTTAATAGCGTCCTTTGGTACCAGCCTGAGTCTCGTTAGATTATACAAATAATTTGCTTAAATAGTCTCGCTAAATCACTAGAAGAGATCACTGTGTCTCGATCGTAGGTACCCTACGAATTTGATCTACAGTCTCTTCCTATTGCTCTTTCGATATTCAAACGAGTACCTCGTTCTCCTTAAATAGTTTAACAATGAAAAAAAAAAAAACGCAAGCTCCTCGCGTAGGAAAATAAAATCGCCATTTAAAAAAGAGACAACAAAAAATGGGAAACAATTTACAGAATAAATACGCGGATCACTATACTTTTCAGAAAAGTACAAGCTTACTCTTGTCCGTTGCCACTGCTCCAGCTGCCTGCCTCCGTTGACGCGTCGCGAACAAACGCCGTTTCATTCGTCAGTGAAAATGAATGAATGAAAATATTGCTGTAGTTTGCGATGCAAAGTGTTCAGAGTTCACGACGGTTGACCGTCGTGAAAAGGTAACTTTAGGACACGATGTAGTCCGCCGAATGATGGGAATGATGGGAATTCCGATGCTTGTCCTTCCTGTGATTCGTCCTGGAGTTGCTGCTCCGCGTACCAGTGGTACCCGTGGTACCAGAGGTGTGATGACTGTACCCACTGTCACTCCCAAAACTGCTGTCCGGTTGGCCCTGGTACAGCCGACCCGAAGCGATCTGATCGCCGTCGCGAGGCGCGTAGTAAACGGGCTGCGTGTACTTGTCTTCGTTGTACAACCGATCGGTCGGTTGCGCGTAAGTGTCCGAGTACTCGCCCACTTGCGTGTACACAGGCGCCGTGTCCTGATTCTGCAGCCCGTAATACTCGCCGTACGGAGCCGTGTACTTGTACTTGTCCCCGGACTTGCGTGACCTGTCCTTGTTGCTTCTGCTTTGGCTGGAATAGTGATGGAGAGGGCCTAGGACCGGTACGCTCTCGTACGGATTTTCCTCGACCCTGAGGGCTTGCGTCGCTGGCATCGGCGGCACGAAATACGGCAATCTGTGGGCCACCGATGGGACGGACTGTTGGCGTTGATTGCCGGTCGATCGGTTGCCAGCCACACCTGCAATTATCAATTAGGATATCTATCCAGACTCTAGATTCTAGAGTGTTGAAATAATGGAAAGAAAATTTCGAACATAACGAGAGACCGAAGAACGATTGAATAATCGAAGAGGCTTACCAGCGACGCTAGGATAAAGCTGGAGCAACGCATCGAGCAGCATCCCTTCGTGAAATTCTCCTCCCACGTCATGATTCTTGTCCCTCCTGTGCCTGTCGAGGCTCCTGGGGCTCCTGCCTCGTCTCTCCCGCGGTGGCCTGCCACCGGCTGGACAGGTGCCCCAAGCAGGAGCGCTCGAGGTGAGCATCCTTGCCTCGGAAGGCTCGCCGACGGACAACTCGTCCTCGGCGAACTCGTCTTCGCTCGCCGGCTTCGACGACGACGACGCCGCTCGATGATGATGCCGGTGATGATGATGGAGCCGATTGCGCGCGTTCAACTCGCTCTCCTCGTCCGTTTCCGGATGGTCCCCTGGAACCCAATGAATAATTCATAAGCATACCAATGCCGCGATAATTAATTAGACAGTACGTGAATTAATTAACAGGTAATCTCTTTCCCGTGTCAAACTTGCGATCGGTTGCACGAAATCGAATCGCGTGCGCGCTCGATACTCAAAGGGCGAGGGATCAGTGTCAGAATTAATTAGTCGGAGAGCCTCGGTTTTATTGTCAAGTGAAACTTCCGACTACGACTTAGCGCGTCATTTAGTTTCAGCAACGCGACGAAGCGATTCTTGTTTCCCCTTTCGATTCCCTATCGGTTGACCACCCACCGCCCTCCGCCGCTCTCTTTTGATCAGCCGCGGTTTTAACTTTTGCTCCCGATAATTGCGCCCGATCGTTAACCGATTCCCGGTTCGATGCTAACGAGAACAAACGCCTCGCGTTTCGATTGTTAAAAGGAAAAGTAGAGCCAGGCGGGTGCACGGTGGAAAATCAAAACAGCCATTTTAGCGCGGGGCTCGGTCCAATTACACACACACGGTTCATGCAATTTCTTTTTCATTCCAGCGCGAAAACCTGAAACAATCCTCGCGTGTATGAATTGCCCGAGTTGCTGCGTTATCCGTGTCTGATCGAATAGAATCATTGTAAAACTGGAGGTTAACGACGGATAAGCTTCGTTCCCGTTTGCGAATCACTGGAGGTTTTTATTTTAAAGAAACGTGGTTGCAATTTTAATCACCGTGAGATCGCATCATTTCGTACTTATCATCGCTTCAAGTTAGACGATTTCCCTGGGGGTCGGTGAGCGTAGATGGATTTTGCTGCCAGAGTGAAGTCGTTCAGAGATAACAATTGCTAGCACAGGAATATAATTATCAATGTCGAGGAAGAGATTTATGAAAAATGTACGAATTTTTGTACGTCTGCTGCAAATGACAATCAGGGTAAGTTATTACGAAGAGTGTGGGAATGCGACCTCTGTGAGCAAGGTTGAACGTCGTATATTCGATTACCGGGACCTCGTCAAACGTCGAAAGTCTCATCACCATGCTAATTAGCCCGTCCTACTAATGGGAAGTATAAGTCAGAGGTCGCGTCACGCTTATCTTCGTCGCACCATGGCGATAGAGAGACGTCCATAGATCCAGACTATCAAGGTACACGGTACATTCTTCGGGAAAGTAACAAGGAGGAAGAAGAAGAAGGTGGAGAAGAAGAAGAAGA